GGATAGACAGACAGACAGACAGATAGACAGACAGACAGACAGACAGACAGACAGACAGACAGACAGACAGACAGATAGATAGATAGATAGACAGTTGAATGACTGACAGACAGACAGATAGACAGATAGATGTGGTAGTCAACTAAAAAAATAAAAATAAAATGAAGACAATAATAAAGGCACTTCTAAAAATGATCAAATGTCTTACCAATGATGACAAATCCATCAGTCTCTCTCTCAGAAGATTTTTTGGCGCCATCATTCTTGAATCCGAAGAACTTCAACATCTTGTGTCTGTGATGAACGTCTGAGTCACCCAACAACAAACGGGACCTGCTGCTACGAGCAGATGTCCAAATTAATCGAGTTTTACAATTCTGACTGATCTATTCTTTGTGGATTCGAAAACAGAACGAACGTGGTCTATTTAAAGTCATAACATGGCATGAATTCTGGGATGTTGTTCTGTTTTTCCGGGACAGCTCTAGAGACGAGCAAAGTTCGCAAGCGTTAAGTTAGTTCAGAAACAGTCACGCGCTATTCTGCCATACAACATTTCTGCTGCAATACTGTAAACAACAACAAACAATCTCTTTGAGATAAATACGGTCTGACTTGAAATCATAAATGAATAATATTTCACCTCGGTTGTAGTAAAGACCGAGCTAAAGTTACTCGACTGAAGTTTTGTTTACCAGTCCTTCCCACGCCGTGTCCAACTGCTTTTCCGCTCCGTGTGAAAACCAAAGCAGGAACAGATTTTGTTTCGGTTTAGAAAATACCTACAGTACATAATAATAATAATAATAACTAATGTGTCTGTAAATATTTTCCTAACACATCCCTTTAAATGGAGTGTCACACCAACACAAATGTGAAAATCTAGATTAGAAAAACAATTAAACTGCTTATTAATTAACCAGGATTATACAAATAATGTGTTGTATAATGTGACATCCTATTAATTATCTACAACACACCAAGTAAGAACGTGTAATTATGGGAAAATACCATAATCATGAAAAAAATGCACTTAAACCCAACTTTTTAAAAAAAATCTGAAATGAAACATTATAGCCTACACTGTAAAAAATGACCGTGAATTTAACGGTAAAAGACTGTAAAAATGCTACGGTAAAAACCTGTTAAATGGTTAACGGTAAATTCCTCTACTATATACGGTGAAAAACTGTATTGGACATTACATGTATTGGACATTAATTGTACGGTAGTATACCGTTTTTGGAAGTG